AAATACATGTGTTAGAATCACTGACTTCAATAGTCTGCTTGCTTTTATGAAAGTGAAAGTTTACTGTGGAATTACTATTCTTGGCAGTAGAAAGGGCTGATGTCTCCGACGGATTTCCGCGAGGCCTGCGTATCGTTAAGCTAACCAGGCTTTTATCAGATGGGACACTTGTGGTTTTTCCCATTGCTGTTTGTTATGGTCATCAGCAATAGTGATATCTTTTTTGAGTTTCTCTGGTGGGTCCGAACTCCTCGAAGAAAATAGTTCTGCTTATTGACTGAAAGGCGTGAACAAATGTATGCTAATACCAACACCAGCGTACGGATAATATCTGATTCAGCCAAACTCGATGCTTGCTATCATCAGAAGAATATTTATTTTTTCGGCTTACACAACATTAAAATCCTGTCTTTCTGCAAAGTTCTTGTGCGGACACAGTTGGATTACGTTGGAGCAATATGGTCACCGTACAAAAGTAAAGTGTTAAGTAATGGATAATGACCGAAACCTGGGATTTCTTCTGAATACAACCCAAGGATAGGGCGTAAGCCCGAATCTCTGGGTTGTATTCAGAAGAAATCCCTAAAAAAAAGATTGCAATTTGATCTGAATAAAAAATAAACCGTGAATAATCCATCGGTGAAAGGGCACCACTGCATCAGTAGTTACCGTGATGACGATTTCTATGGCTGAGTTGATTTGTTTTTCGACTGGCAGTGTATAAGTCTCGAGTTTGATCCCTGTAACTTTTGTTTATTTTTATTGTGTTTTTGTTTTACAACAATTCTATTTGTGGAAAACGTTTGTTGAATAGGGCATTTTTCATGATAGCATACAAGCGAGGCTTTATATTTATCTTCAATTGTGGATGCAAAAATAACTGACTTCAGCCTCATATCTATGGTAATAGGGCATATCCAAAACATTTACATTTAATTAGTCTTTTATTTTTGTGTGCGTGTTTTAAAGGTAATTTAGCAGTGAAATATTGGAAACTTTCATCTTATTTTCATCTTCGCGATCTGATTAAATTGTTAAATTACGAATAGAAACAGAACTATGTTATGAATTTCGAATGGTGATATGTTATAAAATGTATCTTTGGCAATATTACATATAATTTAAGTAACTAACAGGTTCAATAAGAAATTTTGAAAAGATAAATTTGCTGCAGATGAAAAATTAACCCCCATCCCCCTCCAACACCAACCAACTCCTTCCCAACTGATTCAGTCTTGGAGTACATTGGTTTTTAAATTATAAAAATATTCATGGTGAAAACGATATTTTAAAGCGTTTATTAAAAAAGTATTTAATCAAACTGGTTCTTAAATTATAAAAATATTCTTCTGATTAAAATATTAGAAACAATGAAATAAAAATAATGACCCGTCTTTGACGGGATTCGAACTCAGTTCATAGGACTTGTGATTGTTATGAGACACGACGTCACGTGGTCATTCTCCCAACGCATGACTCTTGACAGTATCCTAAGTCAGATATTGGATTCGTATGAGGGTTAAATTTACAACAGGAGAACGAAAGTGTTTTTGACGCAAAATCCAATCGTCTGTACCGAAAAGGAGACAGAAAATGCAGAAAACACCAAAGTACCGGATACATGAATACTATAACTGCTGACATAGATATTGGCTTTGGCTCAGGTAAACGTCGAAAGAAATTAATATGATATGTGATATTGTCATCCCTTTGTTTTCGCTTAATTATTTCACATTCATAATAATAGCTGCTATTTTGTGCTTAAAAATCTGTAAAAATTACCGCATTTGTCCAATCACCATGGGCACTAAATAATTGTTTGGGTATAAATGTACGGAACTCGTATAAGTCTGTACTCTAAATCAGAGGGAGATTCATCAGCCGTCAAAAGTGATTTTCTACATTCTTTTTTCCCTGGATCAAAACAGTTATATTAAACAATGTGTTCATTTGATGAAATCCTCTGATTATTCGTTTCTCGTCTGTTTTCTAAAACCTTTTTAATCATTGGTTATGTTGCAATGATTCAATGATGCATTATCAGTAGCGATTGATATATATTGATGATATTTTTGTGTGTTTTTCGTTCTTTATGTTTAAAAACTCGGAAAAATAATAGTTGTTTCGGACTAAATATATTAGCCCAGGTTAAGAATTCAACTTTTTTTAGAAATGTCTTACAGTTGTGGGACCGCACAACGCACCAAAAATGGCGTGCGCACACCGTGCATACATCGTTCACACACCGTCCGCACATCGTCCACACATGGTGCGCACAACTGTGCGATTTAGCAATCGTTCGCCCCGTTGTGCGCTTCTCTCCGCACAACTGTGCGATTTGGTATCGTTTGTAGATCAAAATTACGGAATGACAAAAATACGGAAGGCTTGTATGCGATAATGTACACTGTGTATATATCTGTAATTTCTCATCCCAATAATCAAGATTATACAATTTCACAATGCGTATTACACAGTATTACAGTGACCGTTAGGCTGTCAAGAAAGGGTTTGGCTCCAAGGTAACAGAACAGGTAAATAACAATTTTATGAGTGTCCGGAGTTTTACCTGACCAGTGCCTGACACACAGAGCTGATATGCGATACCGTTTGACCGTAATAAAAAGGATTTGTTATTTGCATTCGTTTACCTATATATAGCTCCCCTTCACCTGGATTTTCACACCCCCGGCCTTACCCGACGAGTTACGTAAATGCCCCAGGCGGGGAGAAAACTACGGTCCAGGTACATGTACACAATGGTTATGTTTACCTGTATACGGGGTTGTGTTGTAATTTTACATGTGTCGATTAAGTTTGTTTAAAAACACAGAAAACACAATTCCTAAATATAAGAATTTATAGACAGAAAGATAAGTTTATAGATGTTGCTAGAATATAGAAACATACGTAAACATCAAGTTTATATGTTTAACAAGAAACCGTATAAATTGTTAAGGCATTCCTCAATTTACACCAACCACGATTGTTATCGCACAACGTCCGTCCATCGTGCGCACATATGTGCGCAAGCAATGATCGTTCAGCTTTTTATCGTTCGCCCATCGTGCACACACCGTTCACACACCGTGCACACATCGTGCGCACACCGCACATCGTGTAACGTTGTGCGATCCCACAACTGTACATACACTGCATACTCGTAACTTTTCTATCAAAGCCAATGTCACTTCAATGTACTGTACTCGTGTCGCGTATTATCTGTGTGTGTGTGTGTGTGTGTGTGTGTGTAATTATTTACATTTTTGTTTCTTTCGCAGCTATAAGGAGGATATGAAGTGAACAGAGTATGATTTTATGGTTCTGATTAAAAACAGATAAAATATTTTTGAAACCGAAGCAGCAGCCGGTGTTAGCTCCAGTGACACCAACGTTTTCCTATTAAGCATTTAAACTACATGATGGTGACATTGGAAACAATGAAAAACATGAAACTAATTATTGTTATTAATATACAATCAAATTTATTCCTTTCTATTGTTTTATGTTCTATTGAATTTTATGTTCAGTTTTTATACAGTGGTGAAGTGTGGATTCTGTTACGTCATTATTATTTATTCAGGCCTTTGTATTAATAATGCCCACTTTCATTCAGTGACATGAAAGGCCCATTGTGTTAATAAAGCCCAGTTCTTTGTAAACATAATACACACTTCTGCCACGGCATGAAAATACAGGGACATTATGAGAGATAATGTACGTTACAAACAAAAGAGCAATGGTTTAAGTAGGCAAACGGTAGAATGTACAACGTCGCGATACTGCAGGTAAATGAAAGGCCTAGAATAACCAAACATGATTAAGGAAACTAAAATTATCTATCCTAGCGTGCGGAGGGGACATGATCGAAATATACACGAATGAGAAAACAGAATTTATGACAGAGAAACAATACGAAACAGTACAAAAGGAAACCCAGAGAAGACGTCCCTATGTCGGTCAACACCATCCCTGAGGAGAAACTATTCTACTCGTTTATACTTTCCGTGGAGTGTTCTCTCCGAGTGCCAACATAATGATAGTTAGCAACAATAGGCAGGTGTTGTTTTATGAAACAATGGCAAGTCAATCATATACTGTTTCATATAAAGGCTGTATTTTCACCTAAATATTTACCTGAGATTTACGTGTGTTACATCTTCTAATCTCTGAAAAGTGCCTCCTTATATTTTTGAAGAAAAAAAATGGAAAAAATAAATAAAACGTTTGAAATAACAGTGAAATATTCCTTTATCATTAATAAATATAGAGCCCCTAAGCATTACTTAATTATCTGATTTTGATTCCAAATCTCATTTTAAAAACTAAGACAAAAAATATGCACAAATGAATGGGTTTTTTAAGCCTGAAAATCAATTTATAAAATGCCGAAAAGAAAAGAAAAAGGAAACTGAAAATGAAAAAAAACCACTTGAAGTTAAAGACAAAAACCCAATGAAAGGAGACTCGAAATGTATGAGAAAAGAACATTCTTAAATTAATGACTGGGAAAAGCTACTGGTTCCATAAGGAGATTCTGATCTCATTCAGGATGGTGGAGGCTGAAGCTGTGTATTTAAAACCTAAAAGATTCTTCCAGAGGACGTTGTGTCCGTCCAAACATAACAAGTGCAGGTAAACGAATGCGTCCTTCACAGCCAGTTGAAGAACTCAGCTCTAAATCAAGTAGAGTACAGTAATAATAAAATATTTTCAGGATTTTATTTTTAAACAACTGCTATTACATGTATGTGTGGCCCATAAGCTGACTCAACATGCACACTAACATATTGCGGTTGACGAAATAAAACCACATATTGTTTTAGTTCATGTGTTTATTCAGCGCGTAACGTTATCCCGATGTAGATTTAAATGAGACTTTAAAGCTACGCCATACGGAAGCTAAATATAGCCACACTGAAAATATCCATATACCTGTATGGCTGATAGACCAGGTGACAAAGTTACTCAAACGTAAAACGGAAGTGTTATGTGTTAAAGACACGCGTACATTATGAACACTGACTTATGTCTCCACAAACAGACCACACACACGTGTATAATAGGTGTCCCTGTGGATATGTGTAAGGACGGACGGATGTGGAATTTAAATATGTTAAGGGTGAACTCTTATGAATAATGAGTATGATGCCTGGCGTACGTGTATAAATTATGTAGGTTTAATAGCTGTATGTTTACATATGCATATGTGGATATGAAGAAGACAGTAAATTATATCCAATGTACAGGTAAATATATTGTTACTAATTAATTAACAGTTAAGGTTGAAATCATGACACATGTTAATGAATACCACTATTAAACTATTGATTCGAATGTCAGACACAACGTTAACACGAGGCTTGGTACTGTACAGTAAAGACGCTTTTCCATTACTGTCGCAAATATTTGTACACAAAGAAAGATAACTCTTACTTCCTCGATCGTAACGTTTACAGGTGTATAATTTTCCACTTGAACTTAAAAATTTGTACACAAATAACATACAGCATGTCTTTTATTAAATAAGCAACAACATTGCAATGAATCTTAGATAAATTGCATTTTCTACATTAAATTAATGTGTACATATATCGATGAGTACACCCGCTCACATATAGATCGACACTTAAGCTAAGTATGCGGCAGAACACCGTTAATTCCGGAAACTCATTAGTCCGGACAAGCTGGTATTTATCCCTCCAATCTAATATACAATACTCGTGCATTCGTATAAAGTCAAGTGTTAGGCGTCTGACATTCTGCTGCCACAAGCCCTCCACCACTTGGTCGCGGGTTCGTGACGTATGTGGGGCATGCGCAGTCGCCAGGTACTGGCCGTAGTTCGGTATACTTTCTTCCGGAACCCCAGCTTTCCTCCACCACCAAAACCTGGCACGTCCTTAAATGACCATAGCTGTTAATAGGACATAAAACACAAACAAATTAAGTAATAACAAACTAAATGTATATAGTTAAGCCCAGAGGTACATACCTCTATTTGAATTTTAAAGCAAGACCACACTGCAATAACACACAGATACAAGTGAGCATTGAGAAGTTATGTTAAAGACGTTTTCCATTCAATATCTGAGCTCGAATTTTCCCAACAAGGTAAATAAAACCATACACAAAATGTTTTGTAGATGATATTGGAAACCCAAACGGGGGAGGACGCTATGCAAATGACGCATAGGTATACACGCTTACGCTGCGGAGATGAGGAAGACGAGATCAGGACGGAAGGCCGGAAAGGAACTGAGGCTGATCCGGACACGACGTGAGTGCCCCAGTTAAGTCTCGGTTATTTATTGGATGTACTTACGCACAGAGATATTCGATACAAACGGCTCGTATATTTTTTCTTTATATATCTGAATTATTTCAATTTCTTTTTACCTTTTGATCGTTATTGCGTGCAGTTATAAGTTTCGGATGCCCGTACCACTAGTAGTATGAATTAGGAACATTTTACCTGCAGGAGAATAGTTTAATATAAACATTTTCTTAAAAGTTATCTATGCTTTGCAGTAGTTTTTTATGAAAAAAATCATCATTATAAGAAAAGGACAAAACGGATACCAACATTGTCATTGACAGTTTGCTGAGTTACAGTCCTACTTTCATGCTCAAATGAGTTTTCTTGTAACTTGCATAAATCATGTGACAAGGTCAAAAAGTCAAGTCTGGAAAATTAAAAAATCTTTGTTCAGCTTAAAGTCCCTCGGAAATTCTTCCAAATCAACGACGAATGTGATTTTTTTATCAATTTATCACCGGAACTAGAAATTGAGCTTGAGCACAAAATCTGAGCTTGTGCATGATAACGGTTTCAGTAATATTGGTTGGCCCTGGATTCGAACCTTGGACCTCCGATTGCAAGGCGGTCGCTTAATCCTACTTAGCCTTCTGAACTGTAGTAGTTCCTTTTCCTAGTAACATAAATGCATCCAATTCAAATGTAAGGGGAAGTAATTACATAAATATGGAAAAAGCCTACATTGGGACATGAATCCTTAAGCATTACAGTTTACCTGTCTGAACAGAAACCTTTATAATCCGGCTATACCTATATCTCGATACAGTCGTGTTTTGATGTTATCGTGTATAACGAAACCTTGTTAGTCCAGCTATCCGGTTACGTGTTATCTTGACAGCTGTATACTTGGGAACGTTGATATGTATATTTCTTTCATCCTGAAATCTTACTTTTCCTATTTCAGTTTTACGAACGAACGAGCCTTACTTAAAGATATTCCCTATTATTTTCCTATTGGTAAACATTGCTGGTATTGTAGGAGATGATATTTTTTCTTCTTTCTTATAATCAGTAATCCTTTCTTATCGGAAATCTTAGGCTACTTTTATTTGTTTATAATTGTTGTAAAATAAGTAAAGGATTTTGACAGCTCCTGAAGTAAGCTTAACATGACCTTGCATCATATTACAACGAATTCCTTATATTGGCACGGTTCTGATAGTTTCCTGATATTTTGAATCTGTTTCAAGTTATTTTCTTTATTTATTTTAAAGTTTAATAACCAACACCCTATCCCCGACCCCACCCCCTTACCCCAAACCTAAAACCCCAATCCTTACTCTCATCCCCTCCCTTTTCATATCTTTTTTTGAATCCATAACAATGTGTTACTCTTGCAGAAGCTAAAGGTAACGCAGAAAGATATATGTACTTTTCGACATGCCGAGGCTCAAATGTTAAAGATTTTGAAAACTAAAAATTATATTATATGCAATATTAAATACTGCTTCAGCATCAAGAAATAATTAGTTTATAAGTATTTGGCTTGAGGTGATTACAGTTGTGTTTGATATCGACGTGAACCTCACGTGTCACGCACTGAGAAGTGGTGCGGAAGCTTAGTACATTTCTGTAATACGAGTCAGAACTACTTGAGTGTAAAGAGGAGAACATTATGTACCGAGTGAACTCTCGCTATCTATGAGACTTACCTCCCTTCGATTTTAAATCCGCGAAGCTTATAGTAATAAAATATCATGCTGAACTTCTGTACTCAAGCCCAATTTCTTTTTTTCAGGAAACAAATACATGTTAAAAAAGCAATTTGTTGGTGATTTGGCAGAATTTTGAAGCCGAATGTTACATGTTTAAACCTGACAATATTACTGTGTCATAAAGTTTAAGTGAATTACAAGAAAGTTGTTTTGAAAATAGAAATCATACTAGAGCATGAGAATGGTGTTATCAATATGGAACCTGAAGTATGGTTCTTGTTATTCAAGTAGTATATGCTTCCTATTTGTAAGTTACATGTATATAAATATTTCTAAATACATGCTGATAATTCTCCCTATTAAATAAACAAAAGTGGAATGAACAACAACCTTGATAAATAATAAACATGAAGAAATAAGGCAATCTGATGGACAGTAATTAACATTTTAAATTTAAACATGCTGTCATTTACATTGTGAAATTTCTTATCGCACATAATGCCATGTACAGTGTTGACCCGTCCGTTTTTAATTCTACGTGTATAAGATAAAATGTCCACCAGTATATCGGTCTATACATGGACAAACATTTCTCGGTTAAAAGCTATCAATTTGAACAGAAAAAAAACAGGAAGCATAATATTTTGTCAGGATTTTGCCCGACAAATATCTTACTTTCGTCATTTAATAGAGAATGGAATATAAAGAAGGTAAAATGTAAAATCAAACAGTTTTATATTAATGTCGCGAAACGCTTAAATGTTTACCTCTTATGTGTATAAATATGTAAATCCATGATGAAGGATCCATTTCAAGATAAAATTTAGGTCATGCGTCTCGAGTCACCTACTCCCGGTAACATAAGTGTACACGTGTTTAGTGCTGTAAGAGTAAGAACCTATATGTTCTGGATCAGTTCATAGTTCTCTACTCAGCGAGCAGGCTAAGGTAGGTGAACGTTTTATATTTTTCTTAAGATTCCCTTATAAAATCACCAATGAACTGCAGTTGTAACTATTCAAAATTGCTCTTGAAAATGAGATTTCTTGATTTTTAAAACCCCGAGGGAATTTAATGTTTCTGCTTGGATTCGATCGGTTGAGAGACTCAAGTATATCTCAGTTATTGTAGGTCAAAATTTAAATGTTAAGTTTCAAGTCTATAGCCGACACTGACTTGATAGGTGACTGGTATGCATCACCTGTTGCAAACGCTATACAGACACTGATTGAAAAGTTTATTGAAAATGATTTGAAACAAATTTTAGTCTGTAATTGTCTGACTAGCCCCTTATTGGAACAAAACAGGTAATACTTAATTGTTTTTAAATACTACAGCTTTTTAGAGAACACGATGCTAGCTGGAATCGAATTGACCTTGAACAGATGTTGAACGATATAGTGTATCATGGGCTGTATTTGAATCCGTGAAAATATGTGAATAATGTTAAGACTTTCAATTAAATTGAAACGTTTTGGTGCTCCTGGGGCCCCGTCTTATTAAAACTCTAGAGATTCACTTAGGTGATCATTAACTACAATATTTTTTTTTCCAGTGAAACTTGAGTACCTGTATTTTGTTCGAGGCTGCACATTTCGAACAGGTGTGAAGCACGTGCAGTGACATACATTGCACAATTATGTGTAACTCTAGACCTACACTTTACTCATATAGCCTTCGACTAAAGTTAGTGCAAATTAAAGTCTGGGTATAACTGGGATTTAGATTGTTAATAATAAAACATATCCGATGTTCACAGTCTTACATTCCGTTTGCGCCGAAATCTCTTGAAAACTGTAGATTATTTAAACAAGAAACAAGAAACAAAAATAATACAAACCTATCATTGTTTTTAATTGAATCGAACAGTTTTTTTAATTCTTGTAACGAGACGGCGAATTAAGATACATGGCGAAAGATTTGACAAAACCAGCCCATACGTCAGTCCCGCTGAAGTAAATCCCGCAAATTATTGAAATTTTTAAAAGTCGAAAGATATCTCTCCAACGGGAACGTTTCAGAAGCACGTGCAGAAAGTTTTCAGAACGTTTCCATGACTACGGACCCATGGTTCTATTGTTTAAAAGAGGGTGAATAAATGGACCTTTTTCGTTCCCACGACCCATTGACCTCAGAAGTGAAACTGCACACACGCTGTATAAGTTCATGGAGGTCGCGGATCGACCAAAGTAAGGTTCCGGGGCACATACATATAGGTTAGGGGGTTATCGTAATCGTCACTGCTAAGTTAGATAGAAATAGGCCTCAGGTGGTTGTGGATTTCCGGCAAGAAGTAGATAAGTATGGCTGGCTAATTAATTAGGACTAACTGCTTCTTATTAATGATAAACGTACATGTCCAAAGTTTATATATTTGTTACAATGAAATGTTTAATTTATGTCTCATGAAGATATATTTACGGAAATGAGCGAACATACTTACACAAAAATAATAAATAATTCAAACAACTCTAATTAAACTTGGTTATTTCACCCAAATCATAGATTATTTTAATAAATTTACGCGACAACCATAAAAAGATCACATGTTGATCGAAATAAGTTGAGAACACTGTGACATGTTCTGGGTACGTATTTTTCAAATATGATGACCAATGAAGCGTATGCAAAAAAATATTTGTTTAGAAATATACATGTACTTGTACTTGTTTTAAGTTAAGGATGTATGCTACCTTATGTCGTATGTTTGAATTAAGGATGTATGCTACCTTATAAAGTAAGTTTGAATTAAATATGTATGCTACCTTATGACGTAAGTTTAAATTAAGGATGTGTGCTACCTTATGACGTTGTATTAAGGATGTATGCTACCTTACACATTTGTTCTGCAGTTTGTATTAAAGTTATTATTGTGTTTTTTTTTAGATATAATTAATGAAAATGAACACTCTAATCTAATCAATAGTTTGTGTTGTGCAGAAATAAAACAACGATTTCCATAAACATACAAAATGTATATGTTTTCACCTTCATGTATAACATCCTATCGAATACGGATTCCAAACATGACACAATTTACTATATTTGGCCTTATTTAGTGAGCTTCGCTAGGTTTGTTTTATTGGTATGGCCTTTTATTTCACGATTACCTTGTTTTTAGGAATTTGAACTATGTCATATGACCCATTATAAAATCATGAAATGACCTCATTGATTTCCAGGTTATATTATGATGTCACAACAGAGAAAATATATAACAAGTCAAAATGGCGGAATTTTAAACTTTAAAGGCGTGCTACATTTTGTATCTTCAGTGTATTCTCAAAAGTGCTTGACCACGTGGAA